GTAGTAGTAGTAGTAGTAGTAGTAGTAGTAGTAGTAGTAATAATAGTAGTAGTAATAGTAGCACCAGTAGTAACATGCAGGCGCTGCAAGGCGTGTCTGCATCCGTGTTTTCATCGCTCTGCACTCCCCCCCCCCTACTGCGCTGGTCTGCACCATCGTTTGCACAGCAGCAAAACTGCATGCAGGATGCAGACTGAGGCGCCCCGTATCTCACTACCCACGGCTACACGCGAGTGCAGGCTGAGAAGCGCCGCGCAAGTGCAGGCTGAGAAGCAGTACGCGAGCGCAGGCCACGGCATAGCGCTACACACGAGTGCAGGCCGAGAAGCACCACATCTCGCTTGCCAGAGATCACTCCCAGGCCACCTGATCCCGCAACAACAGCCACGGCGCAGCTGCCACATGGGGCCGCAGACAGCAACGGCCCTGTCGCCCAATTGGCGCCACTGCACATCCTAAAGCGCGCCTGCGTCCATGAGCCTGCGCATCGCGCCTTGCGAGGCACCAATGTGCTGCGCGTTTCGTTGCCGCAGCAGAAAACGGCCTCTGGGGCCCAGTGCGGAGCCCAGCGGACAACGTGCACCCTGCGGGCGACATCCCGGATGACGTCGCGCGCGCCCTCGATCTGCGCCATCCATCGAGGCCAGTCTAAGGCTGAGCCATCGGTGATGTCAACAGCACCTGGGGCAGTTTCGCCAAGGTGGTAGCGCAACAGCGCTTGGAGAGCGGCGCTCGCTTCGTCGCGGCCCACAGTCTGGCGTGAGCGGGCGGCCTCTTGCAGGTGCCACAGTGCGAAAAGCAGTGGGGCATCACCACCAGGCACGGCAGGCTGAGCAGCGCCGCCGCAAAGCATATCAGGCTGAGTAGCGGCAGCGCTAGGCACCGCAGGCTGAGCAGCGCCGCGCGGTGGACCGATATAGGTGGGCTCATCGGGTCGGCTGCTCCTGCGGCGATGCCAGCGCATGGCTGAGCCGTCCGCGCGAAAGAACTGAAAGAAATGCCTGCCGTGGCCATCCGTGTTGGAGTAGTTTGGGTCGCGCTCGGCCTCGACGATGCGAAAGACAGCGCGGACGATGCCCGGGCCGATGATGCGAGCAGCGAGACCCGGATCGGCAGACCGGACCAGTTGCTTCCAGTCGTACAACGGGTCGTTCGTCACGTCTGTGAAGGACACGTCGTTGGCGACGCACTGTGCGCGCAGCGTGCGCTGCCACTGGCAGGCGGTCTTGCACCTGATGCGTGAGGTCCTCGGTCTTCTGTCTCCGCTTGAGGTCTGCCTTTTGCTGCGCCTTCTGCTCGGCGAGAGCTCCTGCTCCCGCTGGCACAGCAGGCTGAAAAGCACCGCTGCCTGCCGCAGCAGTCAGAGAAGCACCGCCGCCACCTGCATCCACCCTGACGGCGCTGGCGCCAGAGTGTTCGGGGTGAACCCTCATGGCAGGCGGCAGCGCGCGGAGCTGCGCCTCCTGCTGCGAGCTCAGCGTCTCTGCTTTCCGTGCTCTGATGAGACCCGCGGCAAGCCGCTTCTCCTCCGCGCTCGAGCGGCCCGATTGGGTAGGCAGGTGGCCAAGCTGCAGAATCGCATTGACGAGTTCTTGCGTGGCGGGCTGAGAAGCACCACCATCACCACCGGCCGATGCGGCTCGCAAACGGTCGCCGCCACTGCCACGGACAACTCCGCCTGACGCGTGAGTGACGTCCATTGCTTGAGCTGGCGGGTTTCGCTTGAGCCTACGTCCTCAACCTGAGCCGAATGGCACTGGAGGGGGAAGAGGAGGCGGAGGAGGATCGAGGAGGAGGAACAAGGAGGATGATCGAAGAGGTGGTCAGAACGCGCCCTGGCCAGGGCGCCCCCCCCGTGACCGCTTCTCGCGGCGGGGGGGGGGGCGCCCCAGAGATTTGCGGAGGTGGTCAGAACGCGCCCTGGCCAGAGCGCCCCCCCGTGACCGCTTCTCGCGGCGGGGGGGGCGCTCCAAGAATCCAGAGAAGGAGACACAACGCGCCCCTCCAGGATGCCCTCCCGCGACCGCTGCTTGCGGCGGGGGGGGCGCCCTGGAAGGGCGTGCGTCGTCGTCGTCGCCGCCGTCATGACGGCGACGACGGCAACGACGGCGACGGAGGAGGATCGAGGAGGAGGATCAAGGAGGATGATCGAAGAGGTGGTCAAAACGCGCCCTGGCCAGGGCGCCCCCCCCGTGACCGCTTCTCGCGGCGGGGGGGGCGCCCCAGAGATTTGCGGATGTGGTCAGAACGCGCCGAGCCGAAGCGCCCCCCCCTCGTCCTCTCCCTCCTCCCCCGCCTCCTCCGAAGGCCGGCATGGCTGCGCGGCGACCGGCCGGGGCTAGCCGGCCGCCCTCCCCTCGTCCTCCTCCTCTCCCTCTCCCTCCTCCTCCTCCTCCTCCTCCTCCCCCTCCTCCCTCCTCCTCCCTCCTCCTCTCCTCCTCCTCCTCCTCCTCCCTCCTCTCCTCTCGTCTCCTCCTCCTCCGTCCTCCTCCTCCTCCTCCTCCTCCTCCTCCTCCTCCTCCTCCTCCTCCTCGTCCTCCTCCTGCTCCTGCGGTCCGTCCTCTCCTCCTCCTCCTCCCTCCTCCTCCTCCTCCTCCTCCTCCTCCTCCTCCTCCTCCTCCTCCTCCTCCCTGGTCGCCTCCTCCCTCTCCTCCTCCTCCTCCTCCTCTCCTCCTCCCTCTCCTCCTCCCCCTCCTCGTCTCCTCCTGCTCTGCTCGTCCTCCTTTTCCTGCTCTCTTCTTCCTCCTCCTCCTCTCCTCCTCCGCCTCCTCCTCCTCCTCCTCACCCTCCCCTGCTCGTCCTCGTCCTCCTCCTCCTCCTGCTCGTCCTCCTCCTCCTCCTCCTCCTCCTCCTCCTGCACGTCCCCCTGCTCCTCCCACCCGTTCCCCCCCTCCGACTCCTCCTGAACCCCAGGGGGGAGTTGCGCCTTGACGGCGGGGAGCCCGAGGTGTGTTCTGGGAACACGAAGAACACGAAAAGGCCTACAGTTGGCTCCTCGCATTCAAAAAATAACCCGGGAATCTCCGCCTGCCTCAGCATCAGCCTGCCTCAGCGTGTGCAGCCTTAGTGTGCCTTCGGCCTCGGCCTCAGCCTCAGCCTCAGCCTGCCTCAGCCTCAGCCTGCATCAGCCTCAGCCTCAGCCTCAGCCTGCCTCAGCATCAGCCTGCCTCTGCGTCTGCTTCAACCTGCCTCAGCCTCAGCATCAGCCTCAACCTCAGCCTCAACCTCAGCCTGCTTCAGCCTCAGCCTGCGTCAGCCTCGGCCTCAGCCTCAGCCTGCATCAGCCCCAGCCTGCATCAGCCTCAGCCTCAGCCTCAGCCTCAACCTCAGCCTCAGCCCCAGTTTGAGCCTGCCTCAGCCTCAGCCTCAGCCTGCCTCAGCCTCAGCCTCAGCCTCAGCCTCAGCCTCAGCCTCAGCCTCAGCGGCGGATTCCCCATAGTCACTGGCGGCGCTGGGGGCCTCAGCCTCAGCCTCAGGGGTGGATTCCCCATAGTCACTGGCGGCGCTGGGGGCCTCAGCCTCAGCCTCAGTGGTGCGTTCCCCATAGTCACTGGCGGCGCTGGGGGCTCCCTATGGGGCCACGAAACGCTGTCCTGGGCGGGGGACCCGCATGCGAACACCCCCACTGGGGCCTTCGGTGGAGCTCCCTTTGGGGCCACGAAACGCTGTCCAGGGTGGGGGACCCGCATGCGAACATCCCCACTGGGGCCTTCGGTGGAACCCCCTATGGGGCCACGAAACGCTGTCCAGGGTGGGGTGCCCGCATGCGAACACCCCCACTGGGGCCTTCGGTGGAGCTCCCTATGAGGCCACGAAAAGGTGGCCAGTGGGGGGGGAACCCGCATGCGAACACCCCCAGTGGGGCCTTCGGTGGAGCTCCCTATGGGGCCACGAAACGCTGTCCTGGGCGGGGGACCCGCATGCGAACACCCCCACTGGGGTCGGTGGAGCTCCCTTTGGGGCCACGAAACGCTGTCCAGGGTGGGGGACCCGCATGCGAACACCCCCCAATGGGGCCTTCGGTGGAGCTCCCTATGGGGCCACGAAGCACTGTCCAGGGTGGGGTGCCCGCATGCAAACACCCCCAGTGGGGCCTTCGGTGGAGCCCCCTATGGGGCCACTAAACGCTGTCCAGGGTGGGGGACCCGCATGCGAATACCCCCACGGATGCCTTCGGTGGAACCCCCTATGCAGCCACGGAACGCTGTCCTGGGTGGGGGACCCGCATGCGAACACCCCCACTGGGGCCTTCGGTGGAGCTCCCTATGGGGCCACGAAACGTTGTCCAGGGTGGGGTGCCGCATGCGAACGCCCCCACTAGGGCCTTCGGTGGAGCTCCCCATGGGGCCACGAGCGCTGTCCTGGGTGGGGTGCCCGCATGCGAACACCCCCAGTGTGGCCTTCGGTGGAGCCCCCTATGGGGCCACGAAGCGCTGCCCTGGGTGGGGGACCCGCATGCGAACACCCCCACTGGGGCCTTCGGTGGAGCTCCCTATGTGGCCACGAAACGCTGCCGTGGGTGAAGGAACCGCATGCGAACACCCCCACTGGGGCCTTCGGTGGAGCTCCCTATGGGGTTACGAAACGTGTGAGGGGTGTGCCGAGAGCAAAGGCAAGGAGGGAGAGGAGGGAAGGGGAGGAGGAGAGGAGGGGGGAGGGGGAGGAGGAAGGAAGGAAGGAGGAGACGCGGGGCGCTGTCTATTCAAAACGAGGACCCAACACCACAGGATGGTTGGGAATAAAAAAGACATGGGAAATCAACGAGGTTACCCTCTTTGGGCTCTCTCGGGACGGCTTTCGCAGCTCTCTTCGGCTGTTTGGGGCCTCGTCGGGGTCTTTCTGGGGCCTCTCAAGGATCGGAGGGGTGTTGGGGGCCTCTGGGGGGTCCCAGAGGCCTCTCGGAGGTCGCTGAAGCCTCCTGCTCCCGCTCTTGGGCCCATGTTGGGCATGTTCTGGTGTAGTCTGGGGCTGCCCTGGGCGCCTCTTCGGCAGTTTTTTTTGTTGTTTCTCCATGGCCAAGCACCAAGCAGTCCAACGATGAACCGACAACTCATGTGCAAAGCACAGGTTCGAAGCATTCGCCCGTGATACGGATATGTATGGCAATATACGGGTCATTCATACCAGTGTGTCGGATGACGGATTTATCCCGTCAAGCGTGCGCTGAGCAATTTCACAAGACCTAATCCTCAAAAGGGGGGGACTCCAGAAAATCATGGCAGAATTGCGTGCTGTGAAACACGCCGCCCCCAGTCACGCGGCAGATGCTGCTCCTGGGGCTCCACGGGAGGTAAACGTCGGCCTTTGCTGCGTATATGTCTTTGAATGCCGCGGTCGCCTGAACTTCTGCACTCGGCTCAGACATATTCCAGTCTGCGAAGGCATTTGGTGGCACCCGGGACGGCCGCACGGCAAAAAAGTCTGTGTGGGTCTGTCTGGGAGCGCAGCCAGAATGCGGCTCGCAGTGCGTCCCACAGCCGACGAATATGCCCCAATTTTCTGCCTTCTGCATGAGAGGCCAGATCAAATTGTCGTTGTAGATCACAACGTCCGGGTTGATCCTGATAACCCACTCGTAGCCTCGGAACCATCCGCTGGAGAACCCGACGTGGGCCGCCAATTTTGCGCCCTCCTGCTTGCCCGGATTCTCACCGAAATGGACGATACGATTCCTCACGGGCCACTGATCCAACAGCTGGTTCATTTTATGCTTCGAGTCTTCTGACATATGATTTCCGACGTACACGATGACGTCCGCCTTCATCAACATCGGCGAAGTCCGTATCAGCGCCGGCAAACACTCGAAGTAGCTCCAGTGTTGATGCGAACCGGCCGTTGTGACGTACAGCGCAACGCTTGCGTTTGTACCGGCGGATGCGGCCTGGATAAGTTGCGCCACAATGTACATGGTCATTGGTGCCAGCCCTACTGCAGCCATCCCAATGAAGTTACTGTGAGGTTACACAGGCTCAGTAAGCAGACGCTTGGGTTCACAACTCGCCAACGTTCTGTTGGAGCTGGAGTACACTGCACCAACATGGCTTGAGCCAAAATGGCTACGGACGCCTCTGCGGCAGTCTTGGAGCCTTCTTGGCTCGTCTTGGGGCCGTCCTGAGGGTCTCATGCGTGGTCTTGGGGCGTTCTTGGGAGCCTCTTCGGCGATCTTGGACCATTGGAAGCTCGAAAACGCGAGAAGCCAAAAACATTGCAAAAACAAATGGGAATCGACGGTTTGGGCCTCTTCGGGCCGTCCAGGGACACCTCTCGGACCTTGGGGTCTCTTGGAGGTCGCCTGGGAGCCTCGAGAGCCGTCCGAAGGCTGACTTGGGCTGCTTGGGAACGTCTTGGACCATCTTTTCGCATTCTGGGTGCTCCTGGGAGGCGTCTTGGGCCCTCCTGGCGCGCTGTGGAGGCTCTCCGGAAAGGCCTCTTGGGCTCCTGGGGGGCGGTCTTGGGCGGTTTAGGCGTCTCGAGGACCGCCTTGGCCCCCTCGTGGGCCGTCTTGGGGCCCTCTTGGGGGCATCCTCGACCGCCTTGGGTGCCTCTTGGGCCGTCTTGGACGCAGTGGACGCCCATAAGGCAAACACGCCAAAAATATCAGTTTCCCATAGGACGTCGACGATTTTTGCTTATTGGGCCACTCTCGTGGTGCTTCTTGGGGTGTCTTCGGAGCCTCTTTTGCTGCTTTTTCTGGTCTCATGGGGGCCTCTTGGGGCTTATGGGCCCCTTCTTGGAGCGTCTTGGGGTCTCCTAGGGTCTCTTGGGCCAAAACGCCCGAATTTCCGGTTCCTCGTCCCCGTCTTGGGCGCCGCCTTGGGGCGTTCTTGGGCAGTTTGGGCGCCTCGTGGACCGTCTTGGCCCCCTCGTGGACCGTCTTGGGGCCCTCTTGGGGGCATCCTCGACCGGCTTGGGTGCCTCTTGGGCCGTCTTGGATGCAGTGGACGCCCAAAAGGCAAACATGCCAAAAATATCAGTTTTCACAGAGGAAATCGACGACTTTTCCTTAATTGGGCCACTCTCGGGGTGCCTCTTGGGGCGTCTTCGGAGCCTCTTTTGCTGTTTTTTCTGGTCTCATGGGGGCCTCTTGGGGCTTCTGAGCCCCTTCTTGGAGCGTCTTGGGGTCTCCTAGGGTCTCTTGGGCCAAAAGGTCCGAATTTCCGGTTCCTCGTTCCCGTCTTGGGCGCCGCCGTGGGGCGTTCTTGGGCGGTTTGGGCGCCTTGTGAGCCGTCTTGGCCCCCTCGTGGGCCGTCTTGGGGCTCTCTTGGGGGCATCCTCGACCGGCTTGGGTGCCTCTTGGGCCGTCTTGGATGCAGTGGACGCCCAAGAGGCAAACACGCCAAAAACATCAGTTTTAACATACGAAATCTACGATGTTTGCTTAATCGGGCCACTCTCGGTGTGCCTCTTGGGGCGTCTTCGAGGCCTTCGGGGGCCTTCTTGGCGTCATGGGAGTCGTCTTGAAAAGCGTCTGGAGCCATTGCTGCGGCCTCCTGGGGCCTCCCTGCAACCTCTTGGGGCCCTGTTGGCTCCGGGACGCCAAAACCCCTATCAAAACATAAGAAAAACGACGCCCAAGGCTCCCATGCCCCCTCGGGGCAGCCGCCCCGGGCGCCCGGGCGTCGTGCCCCGGGATTATATATATATATATATATATATATATATATATATATATATATATAGATGTAATATATATAAATATGTATATATGTATGTATATATGTATATATAATATGTATATGTATATTATATGTATATTTATATGTATATGTATATGTATATGTATATGATATGTATATGTATGTATATGTATATGTATATGTATATGTATATGTATATGTATATGTATATGTATATGTATATGTATATGTATATGTATATGTATATGTATATGTATATGTATATGTATATATATATAAACAATGGCTTTTCACATGTTGTTTCTGCTGTTGTTGAACGGTTCTGGGTGGCCACACTTAAAAACAAGACTATGTCTGAAAACCCTCCAGACCCACCAAAAAACAACTCGGGAATTGTTATGTGGTTTTTCATGGGTCCCGGGGCCACAGACTTAGAACAAACCTTTTTCTGATATGCCGCGGGAAACCTCCGAAAGATCTCCCCAACTCCGGGTTTTTGCAATGGTTGTTCGGGCGGGCGGCCAGGGGCGGGCGGTAAACGGGCGGCACTCGGGCGGGCGGCGGGTGGGCGGATCGGGTTTTCGTAGAACTCCTAGCGATTCCTGCTCTCTTGCAACAGGACGCTGTTACGTACTGGGTGCTGTGTTGGAGACGGGAGCTGGGTGTTGTGTTGGAGACGGACGTTGTTGAGTAGTGGATGCTGTGTTGAACGCGGAAGCACGGCGGGCGAGCGGCGGGGGGCGGGCGGGCGGCGGGCGGCGGGCGGGCGGATCGGGGGTTGAACGAAACTCCTGAGGATTCTCTCTTGCGGCGGGATGCTGTTGAACACTGGGTGCTGTGTTGGAGACGGGAGCTGTTGAGTACTGGGTGTTGTGTTGGAGACGGGGGCTGTTATACACTGGGCGTTGTGTCGTTGAGCGCGGACGCACGGCGGGCGGGCGGCGGGGGGCGGGCCTCTGGCAGCCGCGCGGCGGGCGGATCGGGATTGGAACAGAAATCCTAGGGATCCTCTCCTGCAGCGGGATTCTGTTGAGTACTGGGTGTTGCGCTGGAGACGGGAGCTGTTGAGCACTGCGCTGTTGAGCGCGGAAGCCCAGCGAACGGGCGGCAAGGGGGGCGGGCGGGCGGCGGGCGGCTCGGAGCTTGGAGAAAACTCCCACGGAATCTCTCTTGCAGCGGTATGCTGTTGAGTACCGGGTCTTGTGCTGGAGACGGGATGCCGAGTACTGGATGTTGCGTTCGAGACGGGAGCTGTTGAGTACTGGGTGTTGTGTTGGAGCCAGAAATTGTTGGGTACTGGATGCTATGTTCAACGCGGACGCACGGCGGGCGGGCGGTGGGGGGGGCGTGCGGCGGGCGGCGGGCGGGCGGGCGGATCGGGATTGCAATAGAACTCTTCAGGATTCTCTCTTGCAGCGGAATGCTGTTGAATACGTGCTGGGTGTTGCATTGGAGACGGGGGCTGTTGAGTACCCAATATTATTTTGGAGACGGACGCTGTTGAGTACTGGGTGTTGCGTCGAGTGCGGAAGCACGGCGAACGGGCGGAGGGGGGCGGGCGGGCGGGCGGATCGGGAGTGGAACAGAACTCCTGAGGATTCTCTCTTGCAGCGGGATGCTGTTGAGCACTGGGTGTCGTGTTGGAGACGGGAGCTGTCGAGTGCTCGGTGCTGCGTTGGCGGCGGACGCTGTGGAGCACTGGGCGCTGCCGTGGAGCGCGGGAGCACGGCGGGCGGGCGGCGGAGAGCAGGCGGCGAGCGGGCAGGAGGCGGGGGCTGTCGAGCACTGGGCCTTGCATTGGAGACTGACGCTGTCGAGTACAGGGCAGTTTTTATACATCGGATTTTTTGATAGTAGTTCAATACATGATTAGTTTATGGATAAAGTTATGCACGGACTCATCGTTGTTTTTAATACTACATCCCTGATTTTGTTCATACATGATCCGCACGCGGAGCATGCATTGAAAACGGCACTGTATTGGGTGTTGTGTTGACGCGGACACACGACGGGCGGGCGGCGGGGGGCCGGCGGCGGCCTGGCGGCGGTCGGGCGGGCGGGCGGGCGGGCGGATCGGGGTCTCGACGGAACTCCTAAGAGGGTCTCTCTTGCAGCGGGATGCGGTTGAATACTGGGTGTTGTGTTGGAGACGGAGGCTGCCGAATACTGGGCCTCGTATTGGAGACGGGCGCTGTTCAATGCCGGGTGTTCTGTTGAACGCGGAAGCACGGCGGGCCGACGGCGGGGGGCGGGCGGCGGACGGGCGGCAGTCGGGCGGGCGGCGGGCGGATCGGGATTGGAACAAAACTCCGAAGAAGTCTCTCTTGCAGCGGGATGTTGTTGAGTACTGGGTGTCGTGTTGGAGACGGGAGCTGTCGAGAACAGGGTGCTGTGTTGGAGGTGGACGTTGTTGAGTACTGAATGCTGCGTTGAACGCAGAAGCACGGCGGGCGGGCAGGGGGCGGGCGGTGGGATGGTGGTGGGCGGGGGGCGGGCGGGCGGATCTGGATTTCAATAAAACTCCTGAGGATTCTTTCTTGCATCGGGATGCTGTTGAATACTAGGTTGTATTTGAGACGGACGCTGTTGAATACCCAATGTTGTGTTGGCAGCGGACGTTGTTGAATACTGGGCGCTGTGTTCAACGCGGAAGCAAGACGGGCCAGCGGCGGGAGGCGGGCGGCGGGCGGGCGGGCGGATCGGGATTTGAACAAAACTCCTCTCTTGCAGCGGGATGCTAAATACTGGGTGGTGCGTTGGAAACGGGGGCTGTTGGGTACCCGGTATTTTGTTGGAAACGGAATATACTGAGTACTGTGTGTTGCGTTGAACGCGGAAGCACGGCGAACGGGCGGAGGGGGGCGGGCGGGCGGCAGGCGGATCGGGATAGGAACAAAATTCCTAAGAAGTCTCTTTTGCAGCGTGATGCTGTTGAGTACTGAGTGTCGTGTTGGAGACGGGAGCTGTCGGGCACTGAGAGTTGTCATGGGACCCGACGCTGCTGAGTACTGGGTATTAAACCTCCGGTCGTGTCTGGATGGGCTACTGAAGATGCGCGAAGCGCCAACGACTTACTCTCGTCCCTCAGTGTTTGGACGGGCTAACGGGGATACGCGAAACGTAAACCAGTGACTCGCCCTTTTTCTGATCGAGCACCTGCAGGCTGGCCCCAAGATGGCCCCCGATGCCCGCCACCACAAAGCACCCAGGAGGCCCCGATGTGATTCCAAGGGGCCCCGAAGTGACTCCCAAGAGACCCCCAAGACGCCCCAAAAGGTTCCCCCGCAGCATCCGAAACGCTCTGAAAGGCCCCCAGAACTGCCAAGAGGCCGCCAAGACGCTCCAAAAGAACCCACAGGAACCTGTCAGGGACATCCGAAAAGTATCCGAGAAGCATCCACGAGGCCGTTGGCCTTTCTGCTCGCCTCCTCCTCATCCCCCGCCTGTC